TAATAACACCTCCCTGTCACTGCCTTGTCAGGCCTTGGAGGGGTCCACTCAGAGCTGGAGACCAAACATCCCATGTCCTTAAGGAGCAAGGTGCGCAGTAGGCAGCACCCCCAGGATATCCATGCGTTTACAAGCAGACCAGCGCTGAGATCATGGGATAACAAGTTAGTGGCTTACTGGTGCTTTGCCCGTGGTCTCCAGTAAGCTACAGGTGTGTCCCTCTCCCTGAATATCCCCAACGAGGACCTCACAACATGGTTGCTTTCCTCAGGAGCTTGGGTAGTTCTGAACAAGTAGAATGAGCAACAAGGCCATCTTGAAGAGCAAGAGCAGCTCCTCTTGGCCCGACTTCCATTGGAAATTCTAACCTCACTGGGGGCTCTCTTAGTCTGCTCAGGCTGCCATAACAAAGGACTGGGTGGCTTGAGGAAGGGAAGTTTATTTTCCAAGTTCTAGAGACTTGAAGTCCAAGAGCAAGATGCTGATTTCTGGTGAGGCCTCTCGTCCTAGCTTATAAATGGCTACCTTCTCACTATGCCCCATGTGGGATCTCCTCACATGCATGAGTGTGAAGAGAGTGTGAAGACCCTATCGGATTAGGGTCTTACCTTTATCAACTCATGTAATTTTAATTATCTCCTTTAAGGGCCTGTTTTTAAATACTGTCACCTTGGAAAGTCAGGATTTCAACATACAAATTAGAAGGGACAAAATTCAGTCCACGACAGGTAGATTCCTCTAACTTCTTACAAGGAAGGAAGACAGATGAGTCTGGGAATTCAAGCAGAAAGAGTCAGAGGAAGAAGGAACAAAGAATGAACTACAGAGCTGAGTGGATGAAGAACCGAGATTACCGCTCGCCCCCTGCAGGACCTCTGGGAAGGGCTAGGCCATCAAAGGAGTCAGCTTGTGGCATTTTTAGAGGCTGTGAGTTGGCATCACACATGAGCCCAGGAGCCAGCTTGGCATAAAAGGTACAGAGCGACCTACCAGCTTCAGGTCACGTAGACTAGGAAAGAAGGATATAAACAATGATCTGTATGGCACGAAGTCAGAGCCTCTCACCAAGTGCACAAGACCTCAGGACATTTATCCATGTTCTAGGACAAAGAAGACCTCCCAGGGAGAATGGATATTCATCTCCCCTTCACCCAGAACAATGAAACCTTGCAGCAGGTTAAATTTGTTTTAGAGAAGTAAAATAAATGCAACAAATGCATGTGCCATGGGGGAAATTTCATAGCTAACACTCTGATGTTACTCGTTATGGACAAGGGTGGAAGCTGTGTGGAGCAGGGTGGGAAGCAAGGCTGTTAAGAGCTGGTCCAGGTTTTAATAATACTGATTTGGTGGTTTCCAAACAGTGGTGGAACAGCTGAAAGTCATTACATAGGATTTGTGTTGATGAGCAATATAACCAGGCCTCACCCCTCCAGGACAAGCAGGCCCTGGTAACTCACGCTGGCTTCACCACTCTCATTGGACTTGATGGGAGGTATATTATGTTCCTGTGGCTTTTATAACAAATGACCACAACACTGATCAATGAAAACAACAGAAACTCATATTCTCACAGCTCTCAAGGCCAGAACTCCAAAAGTAAAGTGTTGGCAGGGTCCCAGTCCTTCCAGAGGTTCTAGGGCAGAGTCTGTTCTTCACTCCTTCAAGCTTCTGGTGGCTGGCGGCACTCAGTGGGCAGAGGCAACATCACTCCAATTACAGCTCCATCTTCATGTTAACCGTCCCCTCTTCTGGGTGTCTGTGTCACAACTTCCCCTGCATTTCCCTTCCAAGGACACATGGGATTGCATTTAGGCCTGTCCAGATAGTTCAAGATAGACTTCTCTCAAGATCGTTAACTCAACCATACCTTTTACAATGTAAGGGAACACTCACAGGCTCTAGGGATTTGATGTGGATATCTTTTGGGAAACTATTTTTAGCTATCACAGGAAGGTCAAGGCCATGGGAAGGTTGGCCAAGTGTGATTCATGCGTCACTAGACAAGCCCTCCACCATCACTCCGGGTGTGGGCCTGGATGCAGGGAACTCTTGATATTGTTGAATGGAAACTGTTAAATAAAGGTTCATCTGATGAGAGCTAAAGCTCAGGCCTTCATTGACATAACTCGGAGGAGCCTAAATTTCTGGACTCTTTTTAACTGGACAAACTTACCCATAAACATGAAAGGGAGGGGGAGACATGCAGAGAAAAAAAAAAAATCCAGATGGAACTTCCAGCTTTTTAAATTATGGTGAGGACAGTGAAATGTCATTTATTTTCATAATCATTTCATAAAAGAAAGAACATTTTAACACCAAATGGAAGGTCATTCCTTCAGAATAAAGGACAGTCCTTAAAATTAAATAAATCTAGCCTTATTAAAAATTCACTTCACAGTCTTTTTATTATTTCTTTTTCTCAGTTTGCCACAAATGAAAGTTCCATCATAGACCTACATCAGTTTGCAAATGGGCATTTGGGAGTAACTGCAAAAAACAAATGTTGGAAAGGAAAAAGCCACTGAATTCTAGGACTGAGGGCTGAGCCTCTTGTCCCGATAGATCCTCCCCCTCCTCCAAAATGTCCCAATGGCCATCAGGATCTCAGGGCATCATCCTGTGAGCTTTTTCCTATCCATGATGCAGCCACTGTAGGCAAGGCCTATAGAGAGTGAACACAATGCAGGAAGGCCCCGGCGCAAGACCACCTGGGGTATTAGACTTGGTGCTGTCAATCAAACATCCTGGCACCGCCCTCCTGCCTCCACCCTGACCCCCCCCACAGCATTCATAGGATGTCCCAGAGGCCTTTGCCACTTCAATGCCTGTCACCCCCCCTGCCAGCCTCACTGCGTGGTACAGGCACGTATTTTCCTTTGTACATGCACACACCCTTCAAGACCCTCTCTCCTCAGCAGGGAGCTTCCCCAGGCCTCTGCAAGCAGCAACTGCTCCCCAAGCCCAAAGGTTCCTCTCTTAACCTCTAGGCCTGGGGAAGATGAACTCAGAGCTATTGCTGGGGGAAGCTGGTTCAGCGTAACCATGGGGCTCTCACCTCTGGGTTCCATGAAGCTTTCAGTACACCACACACAAAGAAGGCCATTTGTACCCCAAAAGCTAAGCCTAAGAAAACCCCTGAGTTGGACAAGAATTCCCCTCTTATCTAGGAGACAAACCTAGGTCCCTGAATATTGCTGATTGGCTTGGAATTAACTTAAAAAAGTCTTGAAGACAAAAAAAAAAAAAAGGACCAAATGCCTTAAACACATCCCAGACCCTTTGACTCAGTAAGGATCAATTCTAGAAATCCTAAGAAAAACATCAGAGGTCCACACACATTTTACACATAAGAATGTTAATTACAGTTATATATAATAGCAAAGCATTGGGGAATTGGGAAATATTGATATATTGGGATCTCTTGCAATTAATGAAGATCGCCCTGTGAAAGAATTCTTAATGGCATTTAAAAGAGCAGTCACTGTGTAACTTCACTGCATAGTAATCAGTTAAGATATCAGTTGCTGTTTGTTGTCACCTTCTAGAAGAATCAGGAGGAACATAAGCTGTGGCATTGTTCTCCCTGTGTTATTCTCTCTCTTACAAAGACTTTGTGCTCACGGGCCTCAAAGAATGACCTTCCTTCTGAGGTATGTCCAAATTCTGAATTTATTAGGGGAGAAAGGGAGAAGGGGTTGATGGGGAAAGAAGAGAGGTGAAAGAAGAGGGGGGTAGGAGAAAGATTTGCCCAACCATCACTTTGCCTCCGTTCCCTCTTCCCACCCCAGCCCTGTCCATGTCACAAGCAGATGGTCCTTGAGGGATTGGTGGCAAAGTGCCCAAGGGGCTCTACCCTAAGTTCTAGCCCCTCTCCCCATCCTGACCAAGGTGCCCTTGCCAAACCTGGCACGGAAACTGCAGCATGCCTGACTTCAAGGGACCTGGCCTGTTTGGCAACGGACTTGCATCCTGGCACACACGAAGTCCCCACGGCAAGTCTTCCACTATCTCCAGTCTTGTTCTAGGGACACTCAAAGTGCGGGGCATGGAGGGCCCACCCGTGGCACAGAGCAGGTATATAAAATCAGAAAACATCCGATATAAAGAACTAAGCTGGGGGACCAGCAGTTGGCATGATGACTATGTCACTGGACTCCCATGTAGTCAACCACGGTTTGAGTCCTGGACCCAGAGGCTTAAACTCACACCAGGCACATTTGTGTGTGTGCCCAAGATCCCAAGAGGAGAATGGAGGAAAAGGGATTGTGGCATGGCCATCCACCCTGAGGGGTGATTTCTCGCTTTCTGTCTCTCTGTCTTTCTGGCGAGTGCACGTGCCCTATAGCAAAAAAAAAAAAAAGGGACCAGCCTCAAAGTCTAGCGGTTAAGGGAGACTGATCCCTCATGGCTGATCACCTTTCAAATCTCAGCCCCAGCAGCTTGACAAACATACCAGGTATATATGTATGCACACCCAAAACCCCAACAGGATTGCAAAATATATAGGAGAATGGATTGCTCCCCAGTACCCCCCCAAACTCCCAACCCCCCCACTTCTCTGTCTCCTTTTGGTGAGCATCTATACCCCCTGAGAATTAAAATAAAAGCATTGTTATTAAAAAAGAACTAACCTGCCTTTTCTACCTGCCCATATTTGTGGAATAAAATTCATTCTTGGGACCAGCAGTTGGCGTAATGGCTATGTTGCTGGACTCCCAGGTAGTCGACTGTGGTTCGAGTCCTGGGCCTAGTGGCTTAAACTCACACTGGGCGCATATGCATGTGTGCCCAAGATCCTGAGAGGAGAATGGAGAAGAAGGGATTGCTGCATGGCCACCCACCCCACCCCCCCACACCCGGGGGTGATTTCTCACTTTCTGTCTCTCTGTCTTTCTGGCAAGCATACACGCCCAATAGCAAAAACCTCTCAAAAAAAAAAAAAACACTAATTCATTCCAACAATAGAAATAGGAAAAAAAAAAAAGTTTACAAAATGGTGTGGTCTCTAGACTCCCAATTTTGTATTTTACAAAATGATGTACCTGTATGGAGGTGTGTTGTGTAGACACACACCTACTACAGTGTATTTAGTGTCTATACGGTACAGAGCAGAAGCCACCCACCAACCTAACTCACTGGAAGCCTTGTGAGGAACATAATGCCATTATGCTCATTTTGCAGATGAGGAAACTGAAACCCAAGGCAGCCAAGCAGTCCAGTCAAGGCCATGCTGCTAACCAGCATAAGAACGAGGTTTGAGCCCAGGTTTGGGTCTTCTGACTGTAGGGTGCCTTCGCCTCCTGCAGCCCCTGCTGTGGATGGCCCCCTGCAGACTCAGCACCTGGAAGCAGACATACCAAGAGGTTCCGAGTATAACATTGATGGTAGAATTACAGGCCGCATTAATTTTTCTGTGTTCTCATCCGTATCTTCTGTAATGAGTATGCATTGCTTTCACAAGGAGAGAAAAAATTAATTATATTTAAGACAGAACAGAAAGGTTTTGTGTTTCCTGAGGCCCCAAGATGCTCCCAAAGCTAGGAACAGCCCCCAAGGGAAAGGAAGTCCTCCTGCAGGGCAGCCCCCAGCTGTCTCAGAACCCTGTTCTTTGCTGGGCTGCTCCCACTGGGGTCCAGTCTGAAGGACTGTGTCCATTGCCTCACTGGGGCCCAGGAGAGAGAGCCACAAAGACAGAGTGTTTAGCTGTCTGGCCTTCCTGCTTGCTTCAGAGAACCCAAAAGACAGCTCCTTATGGGGCACTCTGCCGCCTCATACCATTCCCAAACACTGAATCTGCTCACTAGGGGTGTGGGCAGGCTCCCGTGGGCTGCAAGAAGGGTTGTCTGTGCAGAAACTGGCCCCCTAGATCCTAAGCTGAGGCGCAGCCAGCCCTGTCCCTGCTGTCAGGACCCAGCGCAGGAGAGAGATGCCTGCCGGAACCAGAGCCTGGAAGGGGCTCAGACTCAGTGCTGAGAGCTCCCTCCAGAGGGTGGGACAGGAATTTATCTGATGGTCACAAACAGATGTGGGCAGAACCAGCAACCTCAGGGCATGGGAGGTAGGAGCAGCTCTCTCTTCCGTTTACACTTTGAGAACCTTCCCCTCTGGTGATCTACCCCAAAACTTCTCTGTCCCAGCTGGGATATTTTTCTAACTAGATCTGAAAACTCTCTCCCATTCCAAAGTGCAATCTTTCTTCAGCACTCCATTCCAGCATTTCCAAGAGTCCAGGAATCCATTTTCTCAGGGCCTTCATACTTGCCATACAAACGCTGTGCCTTCAACCTAACTCTGAGGGCACAGGCTGGCACAGCCAGCCCTGGAATACTCTTCATAGGACAGGCTGGGCCGGGGACTCCTCTTCTGAAGCTTCTTGAGCACCCTAACTGAAGAGCCAGGTCCCAAGCACAACATCCCCAGGCTCAACAGGCTAGAAGTGGCTCAGTGTAGGTGGGTAAATGGTCATTGGGACTAGGTCTCTGGGGTGGACGAGGAGGTGGAGGAGGAGTGGGGACCGAACCAAACAGGGTGTGTGTGCCCCATCCAAAGCGAGCCCACTGTGCAGCCTCAGCTAGGTGCTGAGGAATGGAAGCTATGGGGCTGAATATTTAGTCGGCCAAGAGAAGTCGGAAACCTGGACGTCCATGTGAACTCTTCAGATTGTGTGAGTCTACTTCTGTGTGTTGCCCTGCTCGCTTATAAAGGGCTCCCTGAGCCCTTGTGGCTTGGCTCCACCCACCTCACCTAAGCTCCCTGTCTTCACCCCACCCCCACAGTCAGTCCTTACTTTTGTGCCCTACCTAGGTGTGCCTGCATCCTAGTTCTGGCATACCTGAGCCCCCTGCCTCAAGAGTAAATGTGGCAGCCCCACCTGTAACCTAGCAGAAGCAAAGAGCTAGAGCCCCAGCAGGGATTTTCAAAGGCTGCCAACTCCATCTGAGTGCCCAGCAGCCTCGTTGCCAAATCACCAGGGAACACAGACAAATGCCACCCCCGCCCCTGGAGTCGGTGAGCTATTTCCCACCACATCCTGTCCTCCCACCCACAATCTGCAAACCAGCATGTGTGCCTCCATTTCACTAATTGCAGGCTGACTGATGGGGCTGGAACGCGCTCTGGCTTCTGGGTACCAGCAATCAGACACCAGCCTGCAGCCTTGGGCAGGCTCTGCTGGAACTGCGGGGAGCTGACGCCTCCTACCCTCAGTTCCCTGAGTCCTGGGGTCTTTGCCTGTGGTCTGGAACCAGTCCTAACCTTTTTTCAACTTTGGAGCTCAGCTCCTAAATTTCCCAGGAAGGGACTTCCAGCTGGAATAAGGCCATGGATCCCCAAACCTCACCAGGACTTTCTTGCAACAATTTAGAGAGATATAGCCAAGATTCCAGCTGTGGAGAGGTGGGAGGGAGAGACTTTCTTTGCTGATCAGTCAAGGGTGGCAGTACCCTGCCTCAATTCTGCTTTCAGGCTGAAATAATGTGCATAGCAGGGGTTTGCTCTTTCGTTCAACGGCTGTAACAAACACTGCTGACCTGGGCTGGGAGCTTCTCAGGCACCTGGTGCTCATCAAATTTTCACAACAGCCTTATGAGGTGGGCTCTGCAGTCTGCTTTTTATAGACAGGGAACCTGAGGCAAAGAGCAGTTAAGTGACCTTCTCAAGGTCACACTCGTAGTCCACTCGGACTGCCATAGCAAAATACTGTGGCTGAGGGGTTCGTAAACAATGGAAAAGTATTTCTAACCACTCTGGAGGCTGGGAAGTCAAAGACCAAGACACAAGGTTCAGTATCAAGGCCCCTTCCTGGTTCATTTACAGCCGTCTTGTTGCTGTGTTCTCACAGGGCAGAAAGGGCAAGGGATCTCACTGGAGTCTCTTTACAAGGGTTTTCATCCCGTTCCTGAGGATGTAACTTACCCTAATCACCTCCCAAAGTCCCTACAAACACCCTCACATGGGATTAGTCTTAGGTGTGGACACTGAGACAGTCTTTGCACATGGCTCATCAGTGGCCAGATGGGTGTTTAAACCCAGTTCATCTGGAGCCAGTGACCTACCCTTACCCGCCACCCCGTGCTTACCAGGAATCTTCTACACCTGTGCTGGTGCACATCCGTTCTCATGGAAACGCATCTGCCGCCTAGTAATTAATGAAAAAGAAAGTGGAAAAGGAATGTATAAATATTCCTTTGGAAGGAGAAATATATATGTGAACACATAGTTCCAGCAGCTAGGCTATGAAAGGTCATGTCACATGGCAAGGTGGTGGGGGGTGGCAGTTTGAATGTGGCCCCGAGGGTCAGACCGCAGCGGAATCCAGGTGACGCCATGTCCTACCCATGTGGCTAATGCTAGCAAGTCACTGCCCCTCACTGAGCCTCCGTTTCCTCACCTGGCCATGAGAAGCTGCACTTACGATCACCGGTGTAAAGATTAAACATCCAAGACCACCTCCTGTACCGTTTCACGCACACACGCTTTGTGGAAAAGGCAAAATTACAGAGGCCGAGACAGAAGGAAAAGGAGTGGCTACCTGAGGCAGACGGTGGGAACCAGGAATAACTATAACTAGGCCTGAGGGATTTCACTGGGGAGGTGGAGATACTCTAACACTAGATTACACTGAGGGTTGCACCAATGTGGTAAACTTACCAAAACTCTTTTCATTGGCATGATTAATGAATGTGAATGGGCGGGCTTTATAGTATAATGATATCACAATAAAATTATTTTCAAATTCTGTAAAGGTGCTCACACGTAGTAGGCCTTTAAGAGATAGTGGTAGTTACTACCAGCATCACTGTTAATGGAATTATTTGCAGGCCATAACGTGGTGTTGCCGCTGAATTAAAATGTAATTTTGCCTATCTGTATTTTTTGTGTTTTTACAGGAAATATGTATTTCTTGCACAATAAAAAGAGAAAGAGAAAAACTCAATTCCATTAAAATATCATTGAAGAAAAGGACTATTATCACGGGGGTGATTTTAATTTTCTTCTTTTAGCTTATTTCCTATTTTGCAACAATGAACATGTACTACTTGAATAAAATGGGTTTTGGGTTTCATAAATAGCTTATTTTATGTCTGACCTTGTGCTAGACACCCTGAGATGTACACAGTAACATAAAGAAGTTGCCCCCTCGGGTCTTCCCCTCTGGGGTAAAGGAAGGACAGATAAAAGACCCAACAGGAAAGGTAAAGAGCAAGCAGACAGTCTGTGCTAAGAAACCAGGGGTGGGAGCTAGCAGACAGTGTGCTGGTTAAGGTGCTGGATTCCCCCATGGCTGACGGTGGTTTGAGTCCTGGGCTTGGTGGCTTGAAAATCATGCTGGGCATGTTGTGTGCGCATGCCCAAAATCCCAGGAAGAGATGGGATTGCTACATGCTCATCCTCCCTGGGGAGCGATTTCTCACTTTCCCTCTCTCTGCCTCTTTCTGGCGAGCACACATGCCTCATGGCAAAAAAAAAAAAAAAAAGAGAGAGAGAGAGAGAGAGAAAGAAAGAAGGAAAAAAAAAATAAAAATAAACCAGGTGTATTGGTTCTAGCTGGGCAAGGAGATGCCAGGCAGGAGGAAGCCTCTTGCTGAGGGCCAAGGCAGCAAGCCCAGAGCAGGGCCTGAGAAGGTGATCAAGGAAGAGGAATGTCCACGCATGCAATAAATATTGAGCACTCTCTATGCCACACCAGGCTAGGGGCTGGGATTGCATGGTGACAGGACTGACAGGGTCTCTGTCCCATGATGCCACCACATTCCCAAGGAGGAGGTCTTTGAACCCCGCCACCTTCAGCCTGGCTCTGAGCACCAGGCACTGTGCTCAGGGCACAAGTTGGCAGAGCCAGCCTGAGCACAGCACCTGCAAATTACCCTGTGCCTGGGGAGGACAGGAAGGTGTAGACCCTCTCTAGGGGCCTCCTTGCTTTCAAGCTTTCATCCACAGCTGCGTAAGGGACACGAGGTAGAAAAGACCTGGAATTGCAATGAGACCTAAGCTCTCATCCCAGCACTGCCACCAATTCCCAGGAACAAGTCCCCTCCTTCTCCAACACGGATGTAGAGAGAGTGCAACATCTGTGCCACAACTCTGCACACACCATGTGCATCCAAGCCCAGCTCAGCCACCCACCTCAGCCACCTTAACCTCTGGGGCCTTCGGTTTCCTCTTCGGAACAAATGGATGAAATGATAGCGCCTAACTCCGAGTGGCTTCAGGAAGCAGGGAGAATGAAACAAGGTAATGCATAGAAAGCTTACGACAGGATGCCAAGATGTACTTGGCCAATGTAAACTACAACTGCGGCTCGCTTCCAAGTCTGCCACCGGGTGGCTATGAGCGATTCAGCATTCCTGGGGTGTCCCCCACCTGAATCGTGAGGTAACCAACAGCACCAGCTCAGCAAATGCAAATTCAATAAATGAGGGTGGCTACAACGTGGGAGGGAGAGGGACTGTAAAACCAGGTGAGAAAAGCTAGAGCTTACAGTCAAATTCCTCCAGTTCGCTTCGCCCGCCTTTACCCACATACTTGGTCCAGGGCTGCCACCTGCTGGCCAAAGAGGAGCTGTGCAAAAAAGGGGACCTTTTCCACTGATGGGATCCAGAGCAAACCTTGAATCATAGTGAGAAAAGATTGGTCGGAACCTTAGATTTGGGGGCCGAGGGGCATGAGGATGTTTTCACTGGAAAGGTTTGGATGGAAGGGATTTTGGTTCTGGAGCTGTGAGACCTGGGTTCAAAACCCAGCTTTTTAACTTACAAGCTGTAAGGTTTGGGATAAACAGTTCAATCTCCCAGACTCTTGTTTTCTCAACTATGAAATGCGAGTAATAGTGCCTCATGTCCAGGTGATGTTCTAATCTTATTGAGTTGCTAAAAGAAATACCTGAGAGTGGGTGAATTATAAAGAATAGAGGTTTGGGGCTAGCAGGTGGCATGGTGGTTAAGGCACTGGATTCTCACATGGTCAGCCATGGTTCAAGCTCACCATGCATGCCCAAAATCCCAAGACGAAAATGGAGGAGAGAGTATTGCTGCATGATCATCCTTTCTGTGGGGTGATTTCTCACTTTCTCTCTGTCTCTCTCCAGCAAGTGCATGGACTCTATGGCCAAAACCCAAAAAAAAAAAAAAAATTTTCCAAAAAAAAAAAAAAAAAAAAAAAAAAAAGAGAGAGAGAGAGAGAGAGAGAGAGATTTATTTGACTCATGATTGAGGTGGTTAGAAAGTCCGGGGACATGTGGTGGGCATCTAGCTAGCCTCTGGGCTGCCTCATGGCACAGCCAACAGAAGCAGGGAGGTAGGCTGCATGAGCCAAGGGTAGCCATCTTTTATAACAACCTGCTCTCAAGGAAACTAACCCATTTCCAAGCGAGCAAGAATTCCCTCCCTCCTGCAAGCCAGCCTTCATCTGCTCATGCCCCAAACACAGCCCACTAAGTCCCACCTCCCCTCAAGGCCACCACACCGGGGCCCACACGTCTCTGGGGAGAACAGCCTGAGAGCCTGCCTTGTAGCAAAGTCTCATGTGATTCCTACACCTCTCCAAGCTGAAGAGTTGCCGGGAGAGGGTGAGAGGCAGGCTAGGAATTCCAGCCCTGGCTCTCCCAGAACGGCAGTTCCTTGGCCTTTCTCAGTCTCCAGTTTACCACCCACTAAATGGGGCCAAGAGTCCTGCCTGATGTGGCTCTCGGGACAGTGCTCTGGAGACTGGGAGGACTATGCTGGCATAAGTGGTCTTTTCTGGCTTCTCACCACAAGATTGAGAGAGTCTTAGGAGAAAAGAAGCCTCCAGAGTCAGAGAGGGGAAGGAGAAAGGTGAGAAGAGGAAGCAGGTGTGGCTCCCTCAGGCCACTGCTAGGATGGCCAGGGTACTTGGGGCTGGGCGTGTGGGCAGATAAGCAGAAGATGGTCACCTGTGAGCCAGGTAACCCATCCCACCAAGGAGGGCCAGGGGATGAAAAGAGAATTCCAGCTGTGGGACCATAGGAGCCACCATGATGGACTGATCCTCTGAAAGGCCAAAGGGGACAGTGGGGGTGAATCCCCGCTATCCATGGGTCAGCAGCCCTTCTATTCCCCTGGCCTTCCCAGGTCACCTCCTCTCCCTCTGGGGGTCCTACATCCTGACAAGACTCAGTCTCCCTGCATGGAGACAGATGGGGCTCCATTTTGCAGCTAATAAAATCAAGGGCCAGAGCGGAAACAGAATCTCCTGCCCAGCGACTCTCCAAAGCTTCGTGATTACAGAGTAGGCACAGCAAGGATTATTACTGCCATCACTCCCAGAAGAAATCCAGACCAGAGATGGTATGTAATTTATCCAGGAACACACAGCAGAGTTGAGTTTCAGACTAGGCTACCTTACAACCACTCTGTGCATTTTATTCCTGTTGCAGATAAAAGATTGGGTCAGATGTCCCCTTGGGTCCCTTCCAGCTCTATCATTTATGATTCCAGGACTCCAATTTATTCTGTCAGGGTAATTTCTCTCTCTAGAAAGCTAGAGTAATTAGAGCAAAGTAGGGTAATTTCTCTCTCTAGAAAGCCCAGCTCAATTGTCACCCACTTCAGGAAGCCCTCTCTAATCCCCACAGTGAGAAATATCGTCCTGGAGTGAGCAGGACCGTGGGCAGAAACGCCAGCCACTGCGTCGGCATCTCGGCCAGGCACGGTGCCATGAGACTCGCGTGTGCCTGAAGTGTATGCAGTCCGCGCACACAGATCACACCGTGCACACCGTATCTCATCCCATCCTCAGAGCCCCCCGTGGGGCGAGAACAAAGAGTACACCTCTCTTACCACATGAAAACCAAGTTTCGGAGAGCCTATGTGACACACTTAAGGTCATCTGAAAGACTGAGGTATCAGAGAAAAAGAACTCAAGAGGAAAATACTAAAATGCAGAGTAAGGAGGGGGCAGAGTTACAGGTGGCAGGTTTCAGAGCAACAGAACCCGGAATGTGGAAGCAGGCAAGGATTTAAGACCTGTGAGAATCTGTGGTCAAAGGGCCCAGGGTCCGAACACCTTGCGTTGGTCACTTCTCTGGTGAGACAGTGACTTGTTCTCTAAGGCAGGACTTGCACAGTCTTGTGTCATGTAAAACCACACGGGTGAGAGGCAGACAATGCCATGCTCTGCAGAGAAGGAAGCAAAGGCTCGAGAAAATCCT